AGATAGAGTACAGCGAATGCCAGCGCGAGCTTTAGGCTTGAAACCCAGGGAGAATCAGAAAATGTTCAGATGAGGAAGTGGTTCCCTTTGTTCTTTCATTGTTTCTCTACCAACTGGTGAATACAAGGACAAACACTTACCTTCTCTTCTTTTTCCTCCAAAAACCAGACGTTCCCATCGGCCTTAAAATACACAATCCACCTTGAAAGTAACTAGGAACGTCGGAAGAGTTTGTATTCCATTCTTTTTCGCTCTCTGCCCTCTTTTAGCGTAGGATTAAGTTGCCGAGCACGTTGCTGCATGCTGTAGCCCCCCGCCTTAGTGAATCGGTCACGTTTAGGACCCTCTAAGTCCACCTAATTCTGCCAGTAGAATTGAGGGTATTGGATCTCCAAACTTTCAAAAGGGAAGGGGGCCTGCAACTTTCCAGAAACTTAGAAATACCCTGAAGTTTTTTTGCGATTGATTTTTGTACCATCCCACCAAATACTGTTCGCTTTGAAATTAAAAAAAGAAAGAAAGAAAAAGTATTTCTTCGAGGAAAGTATATTTTTTTGTTGTTGTTGTTTAGCTTCTGCTCAACAAATCATTACTTAGATGGAGTAAAGGGCAAATTTTATAGGCATTTAACAGAATGGGTGCATTTTCCATAATATGTCCTGTGCCACGTGTTTTTAAAAACAAACAAAACACTACCACACAGAAAGGAAGGAGAAAAAAAATGAATTAAAATGTTGTGAAACAACTTTAGAAGAAGCATTTATGTGCAATTTACTAGTGTAAATTGTTCTCGAGTTTTGAAAAGTAAGTTTGTCTAAGTTAACAGACTTTATTTTTTGCTCTATAATCACGAGATAAAAAGCAAATTGGTGTTCAGTGACCATTCTGGTGGGTATGAGTGTTCAGACCATGTCTAAATCTGATCATGATGTGATTTGCTGATGTCATGAATATGAAATGATACATAGCCATAAAAATCAAACTTGTGATTTTTTTTAATCTCCCGCTTTTTTGTGTGTTCCCAGTAGCTTCGAGTGGAAGACAGTGATTGGCTCCAGTGCTTATGGAGGATTTGGGCTAAAGCCAGGGGAACAGAACCATTCCCTTCCAGACCATCACTCTGCTTCTGCCCTATCTCTCTTTTCTCTTCTGGGTGCTCAGGATTTTAGTGTAGCTTCAGCAGCCCTTAGGTAGGCCTCCACACTTAGTGTCATCACCCCAGTTTCTTCACATTTGGCCTTTGTGTAAAATAAACAAAAACTTGGGTGACCCCAATAAATGTTCCTGCTTGAGATTTGTGTATTATTTAATAGAAGGCTGAACTCTACTTTCTGGGAGTTTGTCCTCTATGTTCAGGATCAATTGTGAAAGGCCCTTGTGTCTCATAGGAAAATATTGCAACAAAACAGGATAATTGGGAGGAAAGGCAGTTGTAGTAGGAAAAGTGGCTTTTCTTTGATAGCATTTAATTGGAATTAAAAGATTCTTGAGCTGTAAACATTCTTTATTTATTCAGCACACATAAGCAGGCATTGTTTTATCACCATCATAATTATGGTGTCCTTTAAGCTGACTGATAGCAGGAGAGATAAGGGATGTGCCTGTAGATTCAGATCAGGTCTCACTCCTCCCCCACCTTTCTTCCCTCCTCTCTGTGTAGCCCCCCCATTCTTTCCTTGGTCACTAGGGTCCCCCACAGCCCTTGAAATGAGAAAAGCAGGAAGATTGTGGCCTAACCATTTCTAACATCATGGAAGTGATTTGTACCACACTCTAATTTAATGCAATCTGTAACCTCCTTGTCTCTTATGCGTATAACTGTTTTGTTTAGCTTGCAATATTCGTATCTGAAGAGTTGCCTAGTGCTCACCTGCATAAAATCTCATCCACTAAGGTTTTCAGCATTACCTTTGTCTGATTTAGAAAGCACACTCTTAGGACTTTTTCAGAACAAAGCCTCACAGAAAACCCTCTACCTCCAAGGATTTGCAAATTTATAAAGGCTGCATTGAATTCAAGATGGGTCAGGGGGCAAGAAGGGGTAGAAGGTCACTGCATTCTGATTATGGGTCAATAGACAACATGGCATATACTCTGTGTCCCAAACTTCTGTTAAAGACAGGGTTTTTAAATGTCTAAGAACAGAAGGATGGGCCCATTGGGAGACATGCCCTGATATATTTGAATGAGTTTTTAAAAATTAAAGGAAAGAGAAAAAAAAGAGTTTAAAGAAAATATCCTAAATTATAGTTTATCCCTCATTTTAGCTAATTATTTCTTCTTCTCTTCCCATTTTCACCTCCCAAAATGTGGTATCAGTAAAGTATAGCTAAAAGACTATTTAGATTGTGTTGTCCTATATCATCAACTAACTCAGTCATAGGAAATTTTATTATTTTATACCTCTTATCATTAGTTAATTTTAGTTAACTGTATAAAAGACCTCTTTTATTCTTCTAACCATGGTACTTACATCGTTGGGGCCTTTGTGATGTCCCTTACTCTTTTCTATCTGAATTCACTTTGAACAAAATGTACCCAGCAGTCACTAAAACAAATATATATGGTGAAGAGTTTGGTGGTGGTGGTGTGATCCTCATTTAAATTATGTATGTATGGGTGAGAGCACGGATGAAAAAGGATTATTTTAATGCCCTTCAATACTTTAATTATATAACAGTTGTAGGTTAGAAATGCAAAAGTACTCTTAGGTTTTCCTTCAGATTTTCAAAAGAACTTTCCCCATTAGTAAACTACTCCTGCAAATTGCTGTTGCATTTCCCAGCTAACCATTTAAAAGACTGTGAATGCCTTGTGCATTACTTCGCTCCAGAGGAAAGAGGTCAGACTGAATTGCTATGGTATTTAAACATAAAATACAGTGAAAATAAATCAAAATAGAGCATCTGAAGGTGAATTTAGCACAGTCATATGGGATAAGTAAAGACAAATATGTTCAGATCTTCATAACCCATCACTTTAAAAACTGAAAGTGCTGATTTTTTTTACAATAAATGCAGAAATAAGTGGACATTAAGAATACATTTGAAACTGTATTTGCTACAGAGGATTTTTCTTTAGAAAGCAGCTCTGTTTTCAAAGCTAAAATACTTTTTAGGATAATGCAGACTTTGCATTTCTCCCTGAGTAAATGATCACATTTCATTAACAAACTCAATGCATATCTCATGTATATATCTAAATTCACAATTATTCCCTAGACTTACAGAGACATGTATATGTGTGTGCAAATGTTCATTTAAGCATATCCTCCACATATGTACATGTGTTTGAGAGCCATAGAAATTGATATATCCTTCCTTTAAAAGAATTTGAATACAGTCCATCATCTGAATTGGGTTCATCTTTGATTGCAGAGGCGGCTGACATGGTCAACAAATTTATCAAAGAAACCCCCTGGCTTTTGAAGAATAGTACTTCATACATCTGGATCTGCACATCCAGGCAAACTAAGTAAATTATTGCATAACTTTAAGCATAATTGATAACAGATACCTTTAATTTTTCATCCCTATTCTTTTGGCCAGCTTTCGCATTAATAATCTAAGCCATAAATGTTGGTAGCTATTGATCGAAATCCCCGGTGTGCATGCAAATCCATCTTAAAGTCCCCTGCCTTTCATGTGTGAGCGCTCAGGGGCCTCTGCTAGGTCTTTTTATCGGGATCGACCCCCAATGTGCCTGGAGAAGACCCCGGATATGCAACGTGTGCTGATGACCACAAGAAAGCTGTCTGTCACATTCTGTGTGTGTGTGTGTGTGTGTGTGTGTGTTTGTGTGTGTGTGTGTATACACAAGCCTCAGTCCTGAAGCCTTAAAACACACTAGGATGGGGAAGTTATAGGAACAAAAGAATGTGTTAGACAAAAAGAAAGATGTGTAATAGGAGTATTTATAATGTATAAATGTAAAGGTATGTCTCTATGTACACAGATACACTTTCTAAGTATAAAGACATACATCCCCCAAATCCCTTGATCTTTACCTATTTTTCTAATTGGCTCAACAAATTACACCTTCAGTTTAAAAACCATACTCAATATTGTACTAATTTTCAAAAGCACTTATATTCCCCATGCTTTAAAGGTGGTGAAAGAGAACAGGAAGGTAAATTTGAAATGTTTACTAAAGTATGCCCCTATGTGCAGGGGAAATAGGAGCATGGGGATGGGGGGGGGGAGAATCTAGAGAACCAGGAACAACTAAAACTACCTGCCCCCCTCCCCCTTCAAAAAAGACGCCATAGCCAACCTTTGTAATGTCTTCTTAGTCCCCCACCCCTTTATTTTTAGTTTACTATTTCTTGGCTGTTTACCTCTGGTCTAAATCTTACAGCTGGAGGAGGGGAGTGGGCGGGGGTAGGTGGGAGGGAGAGGGCTAGCAGCATGTAAGTGCATCAGGAGGAATTTTAAAACACTGTTGTTGGCAATGGAATGGCTCTGGTCATAGTTCTTTAAAACAGCAAACACCAGCATTTGCTTTTCCTGGAAACTTCCATTTCTGCTTAAAGCTTGTGCATTTTGCGTCCTGCGAAAGTGAAAGAGAAAAACTCGGTGTGATACAACCAGATGCAAAAGAAAGCCAAGTCGGTGGATGGTATTAGCTGTGACGAGGCATTGTTCATTGCTGCCTCTCGGTTACGTTTAAAGCCTGAAATATCACGAGATCCATTCAATGATCCTTCTCTCATTCAAGGGACAAAAATGTAATTTGCTGTAGCTCTGATTTCTTGGATGGAAATGCTAGCCTTAGATTTCAAAGGCAAGAACTAGACATCGCGGTTTGTACACACATTGATTAAGTTGAAGAGCGGCGATTACATCTGTGCTGAGTGCAACAGTAGTCCAGGGCTGACTTTTCAAATCCCAACCTCCTGAGTTACAGACGCTCTTAAATAGACTTCCTTAATTTCCGGATGTACTTCTTGAAATTCCCAATTCTCTTCAAAATTCCTAGGAAAATTACAAGGGAGACTAGGGTGGGGGTGGGGAACCATGGCTGAGATTTCATCTTGCCAAGCAAACTACCTTTTTACGTGTCTGATTCCTGGTTTTTGTTTTAAGATTTTTTTTCTTTATTTCTCCCCCCCCTTCACCCCTGCCCTTTCTTGACTCATACCTGCTCCTGCTGGCCAGACCACAGCAGGGGAAACTGGAACTTTTGAATATGAAGAAAGAAATTATTGTGCATTTTTTTTCTTGCAGGTTCAGAAATATCCGTTCATTCTTTAACCTCAGAGATGGGAGGAAAAAGGAAACGTGTAGATGCCTGGGTTACATTTATGCTGTAGTTGCAAACACGGATGAAGATTTGCCGAATTTTGCCAAGCAGCCCACCAACCACCCTGAGATCCTGCAAAATTTGCAAGTGGAAAGACCCTCGCTCTCACGTGGCAATATTTTGGATATTCTTGAAAATGACAGTAAGCCTTGCTAGTGACTAAGAAGAGGTTAAACCAGATTGATATTCATCCAAACTGATTTTGTTAAAACAGATGCCTGGCTTGCATAGGGGAAAATGGGAGCTATGGAAGAATCATCTAAACTGCCAGGCAAACCATCATCAACCTCCAAAATGGTCTGCACCATATAGCAGCGCTTTCTTTTCCTCGTTTTTATGTGAAACTTGTGGAAGCACCTTGGGACTTTCCATTTTCTTCCCTTTGCTGCAGCAGGAAGGAACTGGCTCCCTGGAAGTCTGCTCTGTGAAAGGCAAGACGGTGGCTAAATCGTGTGCTTGACACTCTAGAACGATCCCACCTCTAGTCCAGGCTGGTTAATCTTAAAAGTGTACACATTTCTGGCTTATCTATGCTTTGTTATGGGTCTGACGTGAAACCACCTCCTCCCAACCCCACTGGCCAGCAGAGAACAGAAATCCAGTTGAATTGTTACATGTTCCTGGGCTGGAGCCTTGAACTGCTTTCTTGGTCAAACAACTTTGTTTCTGGTTGTAAAAGGGCATTGGGGGGCGGGGGAGTCGAGAGAATTTGCAAACGTAAGTCTGTGCTGGGGTGGTTCACCTCTCGGTTTAACTTCGGAGCTCCCAGTCTGTCTCCTTCCCCACTCCCATAAGGGAAATACCAGGCTATTCTGGCACGTTTTCCCTTAAGCTTCATTTTCCAAAGAAAAGAGGGGTGGGGTATATCTATTTGGGCTTAATAATGTTTTTAAAATGCTTTCCTTTGAAACGATAATAGCTGTATCGGTAAAATGCAAATAAAGCAAAAAATAGGCAGTATTTCTTTAAAGGGGAATATACGGTGCTTTTTTTTTTTTTGCGTACACACACACACACACTCACTGCTTCTGATGAAGTCTGTGAGTCAGGCTGTTTCTGAGCTCCGATAGTTTAATGGAAAGATTTATATACCGGCTGTATTATTTACTTTGGGAGGGGAGGTGGCAGTATAAGGGTATGCTAATTAGTAGGAGATTTTGGGGGGAAGGGGTGGAATATCAATTTTTATTGCATCACCTGTCAGGAGTGTCCAATCAGCGTTGGCTTTAGGGGAATTAATTGATGAAGGTGTCTCCGGACGAGCTCACTTCACTCTGTCATTTTATTTGTAGCTAAAGCAGCGGCGGGAATAGCAGCTGCATTTCTTTTCTCTTTCTCCCTTCACATTCCATTATCATAGTGCTCCAATGGAGAAGGAAGGAGTAGAGGGGCCCAGGTACTGATCTGCATCGAGGACTCAGACCAACACACTGGCAGACCTGAAATCGGATGGTTTTCTCCCTCTTTTTTAAAAAAACGAAAACCAAAAAAAAAGCAAGAATCAAGTCAGTGTAATTTCATGGGGTTTTTCTCCCCCCCAATAATTCGCCTAGAGTTTGGCACTCCCTTCGCCGGGAATAACAGTCTTTGTTATTTTATTAGCAGGATGCCTTGAGACACACGCAGCATCTGGCGGAGGATTAACATACATACATGTGTATGTATGCGTCACGTATATATTTACTGCAAATGGTGGGGATCATTTAGTGCCCGAGATGGGAGACCTGAAGTCAGGTTTCGAAGAGGTGGATGGCGTGAGGCTCGGCTACCTCATCATTAAAGGAAAGCAAATGTTTGCTCTCTCCCAAGTCTTCACAGATCTGCTGAAAAACATCCCGAGGACGACCGTGCACAAGCGCATGGATCATCTGAAAGTGAAAAAGCACCACTGCGATCTGGAGGAGTTGCGGAAACTCAAAGCAATCAACAGTATTGCCTTCCACGCGGCCAAATGCACGCTCATCTCCCGGGAAGACGTAGAAGCGCTCTATACCTCCTGCAAAACCGAGCGTGTGCTCAAGACCAAGCGCAGGAGGGTCGGTCGGGCCCTGGCCACAAAGGCGCCGCCGCCTGAGCGCGCCGCCGCCGCCAGCCCCCGCCCGGCTTTTTGGAAGGACAAGCACCAACTTTGGCGGGGCCTAAGCGGAGCCGCGCGGCCCCTGCCAATCAGCGCGCAGTCCCAGCGTCCGGGCGCCGCCGCTGCGCGCCCCGCCGCCCATCTACCTCAGATTTTTAGCAAATACCCGGGCTCGCACTACCCGGAGATCGTTCGCTCGCCTTGCAAACCCCCTTTAAACTATGAAACTGCCCCGCTCCAGGGAAACTACGTCGCCTTCCACTCGGATCCCGCTTATTTTCGGAGCCTGCTGTGCAGCAAGCACCCGGCGGCCGCCGCCGCCGCCGCCGCCGCCGCTGCCGCTGCCGCCGCCGCCGCCGCTGCCGCCGCTTACTACCAGGCGTCGGCGGCCGGGCCCCAGCCCAAGGCGGCGACCGGAGCGGGAGGCCCGGTGAGCCTGACCTACCGCTGCAAGCGCAAACGCGGGGGCGCCAAGAACTGCCTGCTCGCGCCTCACGCCGGCGCCCGGAGACTGCTGCTGCTGCCCAGGTCCTACAAAGCCAAGGCGGCGGCGGCGGCGGCAGCGGCGGCGGCGGCGGCGGCGGCCGGAGCCACTTGCTTGGAGAGGTTTCATCTGGTCAACAGCTTCTGCCCGCCTCCCCACCACCACCACCACCACCACCACCATCACCATCACCACCACCATCGGGCCCAGCAGCCAACGCCGAGTCACCACCCCCCTCACCACCACCGACCGCAGCCCCATCTAGGAAGCTTTCCCGAGAGTTGTAGCAGCGACTCCGAGTCCAGCTCCTACTCCGACCATGCAGCCAACGACTCGGATTTTGGCTCCAGTGTGTCCAGCTCCAGCAACTCCATGTCCTCAGAGGAAGAGGAGGAGGAAGGAGAGGAGGAGGAGGAAGAGGAGGAGGAGGAAGAGGGGGGCAGCGGGGCCTCGGATTCCAGTGAAATCAGCTCCGAGGAGGAGGACTCATCCACCGAGTCAGACTCCAGCTCCGGCTCCAGCCAAGTGTCAGTGCAGAGCATCCGTTTCAGGCGCACCAGCTTCTGCAAGCCTCCCAGCGTGCAGGCGCAGGCCAACTTCTTGTACCATCTGGCCTCCGCCGCCGCTGCAACCAAACCCGCTGCTTTCGAGGATGCCGGCCGACTTCCCGACCTCAAGAGTAGTGTCAAAGCCGAGTCGCCAGAGGAGTGGAATCTGCAGGGCTGGGCTCCCAAAGGGGCTCCGGTGTACTGCCCGGCCAGCATGGGGAGTTGTTTCCAGGAGATAAGAAGCGATAGGGTATCTGAGATTACATTCCCACACTCTGAAATTTCCAGTACTGTAAAGAGAACTGACCTGACAATTAACTGCCTGGCAGAGGGGGCCTCTTCACCTAGCCCAAAGACAAACAATGTATTTCCACAACAAAGAATACTCCGAGAGGCGAGGAAATGCCTGCAAGCAACTCCTACTACACACTGTTCAGATAACAACACAGTAGCTGCTAGGTTCTTAAATAATGATTCTTGTGGAACAGAAACAAATTCAGGAAAAGATTCCAAAATCCCTCATTGTCTTGAATTTGCTACGGATTTGGCCTCTTCACAAATTGATCCCCAAGTGGATGCAGCAGCAGCAACTAAAGCTGAGAATCTCTGCACTGACACAGGCGACAAGACATTGCCATTTCTGCACAATATTAAAATCAAAGTAGAAGACAGTAGTGCTAATGAAGACTATGAACCTGATCTTGTTACAAATAAGCTAAAGTGCGAGTGCAATGATACAAAGGGTGAGTTTTACAGTGTGGCTGAGAAGAAAGAGGAGGACGCCTTTTTAACCACAGCCAAGGAAGGTTTTGCATGCCCTGAGAAAGAAACTCCTTCCTTAAATCCACTGGCTCAGAGTCAGGGCCTTTCATGCACTTTAGGATCTCCAAAACCTGAGGATGGGGAATATAAATTTGGTGCCAGGGTGAGGAAAAATTACCGGACACTAGTACTGGGTAAACGACCAGTCCTTCAGACACCTCCAGTCAAACCAAATTTGAAATCAGCTAGAAGCCCTCGTCCTACAGGTAAAACTGAGACACATGAAGGAACACTGGATGACTTTACAGTTTTAAACAGACGCAAAAAGGTAGCCAGCAATGTAGCATCAGCAGTGAAAAGGCCATTTAATTTCATGGCAAATTTTCCTTGTCCACCATCACTCATTATTGGGAAGGATGGGGATTTGTGGCCAGCGTATTCCTTAAATACCACTAAGGATTCCCAACCTCCTCACAGGGCCCATCCTATATGGAAATGGCAGCTGGGCGGCTCTGCAATACCTCTTCCACCTAGTCACAAATTCAGGAAATTTAATTCATAAAAAATGTTTTGGAAGATATTTTCTTGAACCATATTACCTTCCTTTTGTTGTAAACTGCACAGGATGGCTTGTACAAGTCCATTAATGGTGTTACACCCCCCTTTGGAGTCCTGGTTTATCGCATTTTGAAGACAGAAATCGGATTACTTTTTTTCCCATTGCGGGTTTTTTTTTTTTTGGTAGGGTGGGGGCGGGGTGGGAGAAGGGTTGGTTTACATACCACAGACTACTTCAGGCTAAAGACTCAAGTAAAACTCAGTTATTATGGTAGAGCTGGAACACTTTACTGTTTCAATGCTAATAATGCACCGGTACCTCAATTCAACTGCTACAAATAAATGTCAAAAGGTTGAATAATAAATATTACAATGAGCCATTAAGTTTATGCACTAGATTTCAGACCTGAAAGTGTAACTGGTATTCAGTGAAAGTTTGTTAGGTTACATGGTTACACAATAAGGTAGCAAGAAGTTTCTGTGAGCCCAAAATGTAATTTTCTGGAGCTCTTATTTGTGGGGTGTCTTTTTAAAACTACCCTCATTCCCTTTCCAAGAGTAGTTGCACTTAACTTTGTTTTTTTGTTTGTTTGTTTTGTTTTAATGGAAAGATGGGGGTATGAGTCCTGATTGGATGCTAATTAAAAAGCTGCCTCTTGTGTACAACGTAAGAGAAATACGGGATTTTTTTTAAGGATGTGCTTTTTTTTTTCCTTTACAATCACTCCTTGCAATTGGAAAAGTCCTTTCTGTGCTCTCACCCAAACGTTTAAAATAGGATGACTCTTACTGTGGTCCTGCTTATCTTGTGGTCTGAAGATGATTCTTCAAGCTTTCAAAACTATTAAAACATTTCTCTTAATAGCAGGATATTTAATGGTCTAACTCATCATAGTGACCAATCATTAAATACAACCAAGAAAAAGAAAAAGAGGGGTCAGAGTTGTAACACCCCAAGTGAAAAATAAACACTTATTTCAGGGCTTTTTGGTACTAGAACTCAGGCACTTGGATTTTATTACCTTATGCTTTTTTTTCCCCTGCATCTCTCTAAACTTCTGTTTTCAGGCCATCCTGGGTATAGAACAGGAGAGTTTCTACTGCAAGTGACAATCAGAGGTGACTATCTATATTTGCACTTAAAATCAAAGGAGTTCCACATGCAAATGGTCTACCCCTTGGTAAGGGCCATGCTGGTGTGCTGTGTTGTAACGATGAGAGCAGTAAATCAAAATTATGGAAATTTGCACTGTTGAAAAGCATGCTTTAGCTTTATTTTCAATTAAAAACACTGTTTAAAATTCCTGGTTCCATACATTTCTACTTATTCCAGACTGAAGAAGGGTTAACAAGAATGAATGGTTTTGTTGACATTTTCACTTGTAATGTTTTTGCCTGGAAGAAATGCACTCATTGGGTGTAGTGTTTTGTGGTAATACTTTGTGATGAGACCAATCAGGTTCTGTGCATAACACTGGCAGATTTTTCTCTCAAATAACAGAAAAACTTTTCAAACTTGTTACAGACCAACTACTACAAGTTTCATATTTAAGAAAGTAAAGCAAAGATTAGTTGCTATTTTAATTAATGTTGAATGCAGTAATTATTGGGCCACCAAGTATGTATCTCAGATCCTTGTCATCTTTAGTCTAAGAAGCTGCATCTATAGACCATAAATCACAGAGCAAAACAAAGTACCAATGAAATGTTTACTGTGTGAATTTAAATCATTATTTCTCATGGAAATTCAGCTATTTATTTTCCTTAACTTTTTAATTCCTACTCCTTTTGAAAATTTTCTTTTGTCTATAAATGTTTCAAATAGTTCTGGATGGTCTCAGGCCTAATTGCTGTGTATGATCTGTGGTTTTCCCCCTGTTGTAAAGGACATGGGCTGAAAGTACCTGCATCCAGATACATTTGGATGGAGTAAACAGATGCTTTGGACTGCTTCCCTGCCTTTCCTTCTTGAATGTTGCCAGATGTAGGCTCATTGGGTCTTTTTTTTTTTTCTTAGAATCATAGATATGGTCAAAGCAAAAATTGGGGGATGTTATCCTTGAATTCATATTTGTACATAATTCCAAAGACTAGTCCATATTCTAGGTTAAAAGTCCCAGAAAACTGAACCAATTGATTTCTAAGCCTGAGTCCTTTCCCCTTTGGAAGGCAATGAAGAATTTAGGGACAGTGAGAAAAAAAAATTAGTCTGTAAAAAAGTATGACACCCACCCAAGGGAAGTCTGTAATTTCTACTCTTTAATTCGTGCCAAGACAAGAAAGTTCAAGAACAGTGGCTACAGCATTTAGACTAAGACATTCTATGTTGGCTACAGACTGTTAACCAAATTATAAACTGAGAATATATCTGAAGTCTACAGATCTGGAGTGTGGCAACACTGTAAGATGGAATAAGCACATATTCTATGGAATATCCCATAGAATTTTGGACTAAATATCAGCCTCCAGCTTGGACACTTGGTCTTCACTCCTCAGAGAATCAATAGTTTCAGCCTATAGGAGCTGGAGAATGAGCAGCATGGAGGCCGAGGTGTGGCAGAGTGATCCCATCAGAAGGAAAGACATAGTCAACACAGATATTACCCCACAATGTGCCTGTAGGCCATCCAACCACAGCGAGTTCTGAGCTGGGGCTTCTGTCAGTGAAGTGTACCTAACAGTAAGTCTTAGAGTGCAAATGTAAGTAAGGTATTCTTTCAATTCCTAGTAGCCCTCAGCTGGTTTCCCATCCTGCTGTGGGGATTACTCCCAGTACAGTTTATTTTATTTGGGTCGTTTTATGATTAAAGACAATTTCTAGGTCTTTCTCAGCTGCTATAAATGTCACATTTGTTCAAAAGTTAAGCCTTACTGAGAGAAAAACAAAAGTTACCTCCATTGACAGGTTGCATTTTTTTACATTTAAATGTTTTCAGGGAATAGATTTGTTCTTCAAGTGCTATAAGGTTCTAGAGTCACTGATTCCTGTATCTAAATTAGCTCCATAGACATGGGGAAAGTGTAGAAAAAGCTGCTTTTGCTGACATTTTGGTAAAGCAAACTTATTTCTGGTCTCCTATAAATGTAATTTCCTGATAAGACTGTGAAGATTTAATTATTTTATAAAGAAATGTATGTACTTTTCCCAAGTCAGGTTATCTACCTTTATAGGAAGTGCAGCTTGACCCCCCCCACCCCACCCCCGCAAGTATTTACGTTTTAGAATGGGTGTTCCTTTCTATTGCCTTACTTGATTACAGTGGAGTAATCGCAATAATGGTTGTTTATTTGAAAACCAACAACAAGGAGCCACCACTAAACAGTAATAGCACAAACTAGATGGGCTGGTGTGTGGATTTTTTTTTAATCTTATTTGTGTCTGGGTGACTTTCAGTGGTCCAGAGATTCCTCAGAGGTTTTAGCCAACAAGAATTGGGCTGGAAATTTCTACTGATACAAGAATGGTAGTTTATTTGCATGCAGGAGGAAATGTAGGTGAAACTAATTCCTTAAAACCATCTTTTTTCTTTTAAAGAAAGCAGAAATACTCCACGGTGAAATTTTCCTAAAAAAAAAAATAATAAAACATCAGCATCTATAAAAGAAAGCAAATGTGAGTTTTGCTTCACCTTGAAAACATCTTCCTGCTGAAAAGGATATGTGGAGGGAGGGATTTTCCAGGGTCAAAATAGGAACTAAAAAAAAAAAGAAAAGAAAATGAAGGCTCCTATCAGCTAAACTCAGGAAATTAGCCCGGAGAAGCAGGGCTTCTGCCTTTGCGAGTCCTCCCTGTCACCCCACGCATCCCTAGGATTCTCCCTTCCCCGTGAAGAACAACTACTTTCCCTCTGGCTTTGGTTACGGTTTGCTCCCTAGGCCAAAGGGCATTCTGCAAACTAGCTTGGGGGCTGGGTACCTAGGGCAAATCCAGGAGGTGGGGGAGGGCCGCATTTTACCTGTTTGGCAAGCCCTCTTTTGCTTTAAAATACGGGGAAGAGGAAGGGGGTTGGCAGCTATCAGTCTTTGCCCATGCCCTAGGCCCCAGCTACTCTCGCTCCTTTTCAAACTGTGGCGGCCTCACAAGCTCCTACTTTAAAAGGCCTGAGATGTTTTGCATGAAGCCCTCACAATAGGGGTTGAGGGAATTGACAGTTTCAAAAACAAGGCGTTCAGTCCTTTCCAGCTGCCGAGCCCGCTCTCTCGCACCAACTCCTGGTTCCTCTCTGCTGGTGGCGTCCTCGGCAGCGCGCGGCCTCCCCCCGCCCCCCCAGTCCTCTAGCCCGCGCTCTGGCTGGCCCCACCCCGCCCCCAGGCTGTGTTTGTAAACAGGGGTCAGTGGCCAGGGGCTGCTGGCGCGGGCTTCAGGCCTAGCGGCCTGGGAGGAAAGGCCAGGGACTATGGAGCCTGCCAAATACTGCAGGCAAAGGGCTGCGGGGGTTCCAAGGGTTGCTTTCCCCAGCCACAGAGCTCTGGGGACTGCACTGACCCAGGGCAGCTCTGGGTTCTCTGACCAGGGCCACCATCACTACCAGAAAGATGTTTAAGTGCCGCCATTTTGCATGGTGGCAAACAAATTTCTTTGTGACTCTTTTCTTTTCCCGCCCAGATCTTGCTCTTCTCTGAACGTGTGACGATTTCGCTGCTCCAGGCAGAAAAGCCAGCACCCCAGCTCGTCCTGCGCGGCCTGCAGTCCCAGCAGCCTTATGGCCCAGAGCGGAGGGCAGCTGGGCCCTTGGGCCTACTCCCCATCAGAAACTGGAATGTTTCCCCTCACTTTGCGCTCCTTTTGTGTGCCCAATTGAGGACTCCAAGGCCTCCCAAATGCGCTTGTGGGAGGCCAGTGGCAAAGAGACTGGGCCAGCATGGCTGCGATCTCCTCCAGGGAAATAGCTCAGGAGCAGAGGCCTAGAGTGGGGAGGGAGTGGGCTGGCTAGCCAGGCCCGGCGGCGTCACTCCTTGAGTGGGAGTAACCTGGGGCAAGGCTTGCTTGCTTTGACTCCATGGCTCCTGTCCCTTGGAACTTCTTTCAGTGCGCCTGCAAGTGGAACGATGACCTGGAAACGGGAAACGTGAGACAGTGACCTGGAAAACCCCCCTCGGCCGGCCGGGAGGTTGGAGGGCAGCAATGCAGCAATGCAAACAAAGCTGCTACCGGGAAAGGAGGGAAACAGAGGTGCACCGCGCACAGGTCCCAGGAGAGTGCAACAAGCTTGTCTTCCCGGGTGTTTAAAACGCAGCCCCAGTTGTAAAGTGTGTGAAATTACGCACTGGTCTCTTAAAGAGTGCCTAATTTATAGTAAATAGCAAGGTCTTTGTAAATGGCTTTATTATGTTGTTTCTTGTTAATTGTTGAGAAAATCCCCATTGTTGAGTGTGAAAGGCTTTATGAGCTAACCTGGTCCTCGGCGCAATCAGAGGGCAGTAAATGGCGGCTCGACCTCCAAGGCCTCACGCGCAAGCTGTGGCGAGGGCAATGAGTGCTGCAGGGACTTCTAGAGGTGCTGCTTCGGCCTGGAAAGAAAGTGGCAAGGCTGCCCAGCGTTTAATTAATGAGAAAACGTGTTTTGAACTCGCAAGCACCCAAGAGTAGGTGGCTGGGTGCGACAGGGGGAACCTGACTAGCCAGGGCTACTGCAGGACCGCAGAGCGGGGCCTGGGCTCCCCGCTCTGGTCACAGCCCGCAGGGGGTCGTGCCTCAACCTCAGGCTAGCGAGCTGGGGGCGCTGATTGGAGCCTCGCTGAGATGCACTGGATCCTGGCTTTGTCTCTAGTTCTCTAGCCGCATGGAGCGCGAGCTCCGGACCTTCCGCCTCGGTGGAAGAACCTCTCTAAAATGCCTGCCTGGCTGGGGAGCTGAAAGGTCTGCAGGCTGAGCAGGCTCCAGGGACTGCTCCAGGCCCCTGCTTGGGCCTCCATGTCTTTTGTTTAAAGCGCTCTCTCCTTCCCTCCCTCTCTTTCTCTCTTCCTCTCTTTTGCACAGGGACACACACAAGTCTCTTCATTAGAAACCAGCAAAGGACGCAGAAGATGGGAGAAATAAGGGGAAGGGGCTGGGTTCTGTTTGTTTAACATGGAAAAATAATTTCTTTAGTTTAAGATGAAATATTTCTATCTTGTCTTTTGGTCACCTCCGGGTCCCTCTGTCCAGCCAGTTAGAATTCGGGACGCGAATAGGCAAAAACCAGACAGGCGCTGGGCTCATTGCTAGAACTTTGAGGACAGAATCCCATGGGTCCTGCTGGTCCTGAAAGGGCTGGAAGGCAGTGAGACAGCGCCTCCAGGGCTCGGTTCTGTGGCCTTTCCAGGGCCTTAGGACCTGGTGGGACCCAGGGAAAAGCAGCTGCTCCTCTTTGTAGTCTCTTATCTCTGGCACTATACTAAAAGAGCGAATTTCCTGAGAAACCTGACTTGGGTGGACTGTAAGTGAGGGTTTGGACATTAGTTGATGCAAATCGCAAGGAAATGTTAATTCAATTCCAGTGAGGGGGGGAAAAACCTGTATTCTGCTGTCTTCCTTTCCCTCCTTAGATGGTCCTCTCTGCTCGCACACTCTCTCACCAAATTAGCTATTACGTGAAATCCCCCTGGGTTTAGAGCACTTGTTTCTCGGATTGGCGTACAACCCATATTAACTATGCACTTTCTGCTATTCCTCTTGTGACTGTCCCTGCTTCTTCCTTCTTTGCGGAGAGTATGATGCTTTTTATTTTAGTCCAATCGATGCGCACAAACACTGGGATAACGCAACCCACACATCTGCGGTGGAGGCTGTTTTCAAAATTGAGTTTAGGGATCAATACTAAGTCAGAATGCTCCAAATTGCATGAATTCACCAAATTCAAGCCTTGGGCTCCCAAGCCTCTTTCCTGAGTAATTAACACACTCACAGGTTATAGCTGTGTGTCTACACTTCCTGCCTCTCTCAAAACAGGATGTTTTCCTCCTGTGTATT